AGCCATCTCATTTGTACAGCCCTACATATGCAGTTTGGTCAGCAAAACAACCCTCTGAGGCAGGAAGCCTGTGCCCCTGTTCATATATTCTGCCAGGGTGGTTACAGTTCTCTGGTCACACCTATACCATACATTTAAAGCACTTTTATACCACTTTAAAAATAATGGCTTTCCCCAAAGATTTCTGGGAACTGTAATTTACTAAGGGTGCTAGGAATTGCAGCTCTGCAAAGGTTTGACTATCAACCCTCATGCGACCTCCGTTCTCGTGAAAACTGGGGCTTCTGGTTGGAAGACCCTGTTGTGAAAAGTCCAATTTGTGAGAGAAACTGATCACATAAATCGGACTGTTGTGTGCTTTTAATGCACAAACATTTTTGCCAGCGTCTAGACAACATTGTTGGCATCAGAATGCCCCACCCCCATTTAATCTGGATTTATCCTTTCAGGGGGAATTCTAATAAACCACACACACACACACACACTTGCAATATCTGAACAACTCTTTTTGCAATACTTCAATGTTGTCTTCAATGTTAGTCCTACTCTGAATAGACCCATTGAAATTAATATAGCTGCCAATTTAGGCCAATTAATTTCAGTGGATAGAACAAAGTTGGCTACAGCCCTAAATTCACATCCAGAAGTTCCCAAATGAGGCTTCTATCAGGTATCCTGGTGAAAGAATAGTAAAAATGCCTGATCCGGTCGCTTGTTACAATCTGCTTTATTGGGTCAATGGTGGACAAACTTGATGAGCCTTTCTCCCTCTCATAGTTTTCTCATGAAATCTGCCAGTGATAGCTACTGTGTGAAAAATCAGCTTTGGATGGGGAAAAGGCACTGGGATGATGTAAGAAAACCACTCTGATGTCATACCCTCCGAATTCTGGAGATCTGATACCAGGATGTGTATCTTCTGGGATGCACACCCAGGCGAGTCATGTGACCCACGCCTCACTCTACTCTGATAAAAGTGCTTTTTGGGGGTGAGACGGTGAGAGTTCACAGCACGCAAAATGGCTGTTGTGATCTTGCACGGAGATAAAAGTATGTCCCATTTTTTTCTGGGACACACAACAAGTGTGTCATGTTTTGAAGGTGAATCTTAGTGTGGAAAACGAGCTCCACAACCAAAATCTGATCAGGCCTAACTCAACCTGAACCTTCCCCTAGAAACAACTTTGAGAGCAGCTAGCCAGCATTGAGTGCCTCAGCTTGTGCAGTCATAAATTTGGACATAGGATGGAACTGTGCCATTATGAAGATTGGGGGCAATTCAGATTTACTACTTCCTTAATGTTGTCCCCTTTCCCATCTTGAAATGTGTGTGTGAGAGAGAGGGGGGGGAGATATGAACTGGATTGGACTTTACTTTTGAATGTTTGGCCCAATTCTTCTTGTTACCCGGTGCAGTGGAGACCAAAGGCTTGAAGAGGCTCTTAGGAAACATAGCTCCTGGGAAGAGGGATTGATTGTTAAGGCACTCTGAGAACTGTAGTCCAGAAAGGGGAATAGGAGTCACCTAACAAATATCCTTGCCCTTAACAGGCTACAGTTCCCAGGATGCTTTTGGGGAAGCCATGGCTGCTTTAAGTGGTATGATACTGTTTGAAATACATAGCACAGATGGGGTCTAAGTTAGGATGAGCACATGAAATCAAACATCTTAAAGCTCCCGATATGTACACACACACACAAACTATATATGTATAATTTTATAGCAGGAAAAAAACCTCTTACTGCATTTACAGTAGGAGAAAAGTTAGCAAAATCCTTTTGATCATCTCCCTTGGCAGAGGTTTCAGACTGTAGAGCACTTTAATTAATTCAGTAAGTATTGTAGGCCTTTGGGGGTATTCTGCAGAACTGTGAACAAAATTAATCTATGGGCATGGGACTTAATCAGGCAACAAAGTTTTGAAGAGTTAGTAGCAAACTTTTTGTTCTCTTGGTACATCAGGGGAAGCAGATAATTAGGTTGGTTTGGAAGGGGAAATCAATTAGCATTTGTTTTGCTACCTGCACAATAATCAGAGAATGAGGCAGAAAAGTTTTGTGTGTGTTTGTTTGTTTTTAATTGAAAAGCAACACACTTAGATTGTCCATCAAGAGTCAAGTGGTAAAGTGGAACATCAAACTAATACATTTGTGATAAAAAGAATATACCCCCCCCACAAAAAACCCAATGATTTAACAACATTCACATAGGTAAAATCTTATTCTATTTATTTCATTGCAAGTATTATTGCATTTTATATCCCACATTTCCTCCAAGGAGCTCATGGTTGTCCCCCTCCCCATTTTATCCACACAAAAATCCTGCGAGGCGGGTTCAAGGAAAAGAGAGTGACTGATCCAAAGTCACCCAGTGATTTGGTCTTCTGGGTCCTAGTCTGGCCCTCTGAACACTGCACCACCCATTGGCCACTAGTCCATGACCATTAGCCAATTGTAGCACTCACCATAATACCTGTATGCTGTCTTCAGGACCAGAAGCATCATGCTTCTGAATACAGTGGTACCTCTAGTTACGAACTTAATTTGCTCTGGAGGTCTACTCTTAACCTGAAACTGTTCTTAACTAGAGGCGTGCTTTCACTAATGGGGGTCTCTTGCTGCCGCTGTGCCGCCGGCACACGATTTCCATTCTCATCCTGGGTCAAATTCTCAACTAGAGGTAACTCTTCCAGGTTAGCGGAGTTTGTAACCTGAAGCATTTGTAACCTGAGGTGTTTGTAACTCGAGCTACCACAGTACCAGAAACAGGGAGACAACTGTGAGAGAGGGATCACGGGCTTCATAAATGACTCTGGTTGATGATTGTAAGGAAGAGGATGCCGGAACAGATGGACCTTTGGTTCTGATGCAGTGGAGCTCTTCTCATGTTCTTATGAATTCTCAAACATTACTAGAGAGAAGGACGCTTAATTCTTACTCACTGAAGGGCCTATTTTTTAAAAAACAACAACGGATAGCATACTTCTTTTGCAAATAGCTGAAATTTGGTTCTTCACACATAGTGCAAGATACACATAATCCTCCTGAGGAAAGCTTATGATGAATATTGCTGTTAGAAAAACGCCTTGGAGAGGTAACATCAGTAACCTTGGAATAGGAAAGAGGAATTAATTGACCATAGGACCCGAGATTCCTAATCTGAAAACTGCCCAATCATAATTTAAGGCAGTTCCATTTTTCTCCAACATTTCTCTGTTGAAAATAGGGACAATCCATTCCAGAAAGATAATTTTACTATTTATACCCCACACATCTTACTGGGTTGCCCCAGCCACTCTAGGCAGCTTCCAACATAATAAAACATTAAACATATTTTTAAAAAAACTTACCTATACCAGATTGCTTTAAGATAGCCTAGGGGTCGGATAACTCCCTACCCTCCAACATTTCTCCAATGAAAATAGGTACATCCTAAGGAAAAGTGGGACATTCTGGGATCAAATCAGAAACCAAGATGGCTTCTCCAAATCAGGGACATCCCTGGAAAATAGGGACACTTGGAGGGTCTGTGATGGTTGATGTTTGGACAGTTTGAACTGAGCAGAACCTATTGGGAATTGTAATCCAAACATAACAAGAGCACAGATTGTAGAAGGCTGATCTAAGCACTGTGACCATCCTCCCTTGGCACCTTTAAATAAAGCTTGCCTAACTGATATTATGTCAACAGAATGAAGGCAAGACAATCAGCTGTGGTAAGATTATAGGATTTAGAAATCTACATGAAATATAATTTCACCATGGCTATGCCAGGCATATTACAGAATATTCTACTGATTTGCTTTCTTTATAAATGTATTTATAGATTTTTTTATTATGGGCTGAACATGACTATCTTTTGTGTGAGAGACATCTAGTGCAGTATAAATGCATTATTTTGTGTTTTGTGCATTCTGTTTTCTTCCTACCTACTCTACAAGTCATTGTCTGAAAATAAATATACTATACTTCTACATAATGAAATCATTAAATAAGCAATAAAGTTAGAATAAAACCCAAAAGCATAATCTACAAAGCAGTTGGAAATGGAACCACAAATCTATTACTGTGAATATTATGCATCTATCTATCAAAGTCCTTATTTGATTATACATATGAGGCTGGGTGTATTTCTTCAGGAAGGGATATACCATGAAATCGTATAAAGTCTTCTTAGAAGTTTGTCAACAAGGTTTAATCCTAGGAAAATGGGAATAGGATTGCAGCCTTAATGCTCTATGTACAAATGCTGAATTTTTGTATTTGGTTGAATATAAGGATGAGTGCTTGCATAAATTTTGATTTCTCTCTGTTCCTCACTTTTCACATTCTGAAGTTTGGTTTCCCACATTTTCAAATCAGATTGTGGTTGTTGTTATTGTTTAAGTCATCCTGAAAAAATGTCAGTATCTCATTGCAATTTTTTCCTATTTCTTCCCCATCCCTAGTTGGAAGATTGAGGATGCTGTGGTTTGTTTGTTTGTTTTTTTAAAAAGAGAAGAAGGTATAGATGAGAAATAAGGCTGTTTGTGATCAACAACTTTATCTTGTAAATGATATTATAAAGAAGCAATAGAAATAAAACAAACACATAATTAGAGGTAAGGTAAAGCAGCTATCTTTCTTTTAATAAGGTCCAGCGACTGTCTTGAACGACACATGTTTACAAGCAATGTGCAGTGAAGAATGGTGGTCATTTTCCAAGTGCAGAGTGGTCATGTGGTACCACAAAATCAATGACAATTTTACAGAATCATGATCTGGAAGAAAACCTACCTTGAACTATCTGTTCTAAACTTCTACTGCTTGCATGAAAACAGAAGGAACGAAGAATTAGTTGTGGTGTCAACAGAAGACACCTTGATAATTCTTGTCAGCGAGGAAGCTCCTGTTAGTGCCCAGAACAGTAGAAGAGTGGGAAAAGAGCCTGCCCTGAATCACACAAACTCTAAAGCATACGTGTTTCAACTGCTTAATTGTCCTATACTTTCACATTGGCCATGGGACTGAAGAATCAGAGCAGCAAGGAGCAAGTGACTGAGTTCATCTTAACTAGCTTCCAACTTCCTAGGCACTTGGAGCTCATCCTTTTTGTGGTGCTTCTAGTTGTTTTCCTGATAACAATATCTGGGAATATCACCATCATCACACTGGTATGCTTGGACCAGCGCCTCCAAACCCCCATGTACTTTTTCCTCTGCAACCTCTCACTCATGGAGATCTTCTTTGTCACGTCTATTATCCCGAAGATGATAGTGGACATGGTTTCTCTGAACAAAGCCATCTCTTTCTTGGCCTGTGTGGCCCAATGCTATTTCTACTTCTTCTTTGGGGCCAGTGAAACCATCCTTCTTGCTGTGATGGCCTTTGATCGCTATGTCGCCATCTGCAAGCCACTGCGCTATGCCATCATCATGAATGGGTGGGTCTGCATTGATTTGGTCCTGGGCTGCTGGATCGGTGGCTTCCTTGCTCCTGTTGCCCCAATCATTTTACTCTACCCACTATCCTTCTGTGGCTCTAATATTATAGACCATTTCTTCTGTGACTACACCGCATTTGTAAAGCTTTCTTGCAGTGATGTGCAGGCCCTCCTGGCTCTGGAGAATGTCTTGTGCTCAGTTATGCTCCTGGGCTCTTTGTTTGTCACTCTTCTCTCTTACGTCTACATCATTGGCACCATCTTGCGCATGCATTCCACCAAAAGTCGACAAAAGACATTTTCTACCTGTGCATCTCACATCACTGTAGCCTCCATTTTTTATGGCAGCTCAATTATCATGTATGCTTTACCCAGCCAGGGATACTCCCAATATGTCCAGATGGGCCTTGCTGTCCTTACTGGGGTAGTTACTCCTTTACTGAATCCTTTTATTTATAGTCTAAGGAATGAGAAGGTCAAGGAGGCCTTCAAAGACTGTCTGAAGAAGAGAAAATTCACACTCTGAGAATGAAGCAACTTCTTGATCCATCCTGCTCTTCCTTTGTTGAACTGTCATTGGTTTGATTTGTTCTTCTACAAATTGCCTGGGGAATGAGAGCAAGTTGTAGGGTGATGTGGTCAGTGCTTTTATCTAAAAAAATAATGTTTAGGAGTACTCTCATTTTCCTACTCATATTGAAATACTGCCCCTCAACGAGGCCAAACTTAGATTCACAAAATGTTTAGCGGTATGCGTACCACTGCGTACTCCCGAAAAAAGCACTGGATGGGTTAAATTCCACTTTACCTCCAAGGAGCACAAGGTGCTGTGCATGGTTCTCCCCACTACCCATTCCACCCTCACAACAACTATGTGAGGTAGGTTAAAGAAACAGAAATACAAAATTGGGTCATATGACAAGAAGGTTATTAAAAAACAAACAAAAAAATGCACCTTTTCTCTCACACACATGCCCAGAAAATGGAGAACATTGAGCAAACTTTTTTCCAGGTATTTTCCATGCTGTTAGGGTGCATGTGGGGTAGTAGTCACCTTTTTCCTTTAGAACACGGATGGGGAATCTCTGACATATGGGCCAAATGTGGTGTTCCAGGTGCCCCCATTGGGATCTTCAAACCATTTTGGGGAAAGCTGCACCCATCCACCATACACACGATGTGATATTTGCATAAGTTATGGGGCAGATAAGGGTGCGGTTTCAAAGGAACTGTTACGAGATTAAAGCAGGCTCCTGATTATTCCTTTGCTGAAGGAAGGTTTGCGTTCCAATGTCCAGCAGCTGATCAGATCAGATCAGGCACACCTTGCTCAAGGAAGGTGAAGTAGTCCCCATTCAGTGAAAACCACTTCTTACTCCCAGTGATGTTCCTTGAAGTTGTGACTTAGGCACCTTGGCAGAACTACCAATCGTGTGACTTCATAATGATGCCACGTGATTGCCATGTGAGGTGTCCCACCCAACAGTCAATCGTTGCCCTATAGCAGACATGTCCAACAGGTAGATCGTGATCTACTGGTAAATCATTGGATGTCTGTGGTAGATCACTGGTAGATCACTGGCTCACCCCAAAGAAGCTGAACAACTGTGGCTCCCCTAAAAAAAGCTCAACATTTTACCTCCTCCCTGAAAAAGCTCAATAACTTTGACCTGAACCCTAAAAAAGGGGGTAGATCACTGTCAGTTTTTAACTCTGTGAGTAGATCACAGTCTCTTGGGAGTTGGCCACCTGTGCTCTACAGGGTGGAGCTGAATGTTCCCCTACCTTTCCTCTAATGTCACTAAGTCTGGGATCCTGGGAAGGATGAAAACTCCTGGCCAGAATTCCAACACACTTGCTGCTGCTGTGCCCGACCCCACTTGCAACCTTGGGGTGGAGAAGGGAAAGAAGAAGATATGCTAATGTATTGTAATCATTATTATTGATTTATTATACTGCCCTTCATCTGAGGATCACAGGGCAGTTTGCAGTACAGGCATCCCCTCCACATACACACGATCAATTAATAATCAACTGCGTATACACACAGTGCTGGGAAATAATCAAATAATTCAATTCAAACCAGGAAATGGTGGGAGAGAGCTGGAGAGTGCTTGTGGCTCATGGATAGACCATCCCCGGAGCTCAGAGAGGAAGCCCCTTAGAGACCAGAAGTGTAGTGGGGCTTTGTTTAGGCTGCTCAGCCTCCCTGCCTAACAGACGGTGTGTGGGGCAGCGCAGCAGCAGCAGTCACTTTTCCACATGTCCTCCAGCCTCCTGCCCACCTCAGAGCTTCAATTCTAGTTGTGGATATTTTGGGACACAGTATTTTTGGTATGGGTTGAAGAGAGAGTGGCAGAGAGGGAGTTTAAAGGGTGTTTAAAGGGTGCTCCCCACCTAATGTGATTTCACTTAAGCATGAGGGGGCTCGGAACGTAACCCCAAGATAAGTGGGGAGTCACCTGCATAAAAACACAACAATGCATAACATAATTACAAATGAAACCCTCCCCGAAACCACATACACAGTTTCAAAGGCCATAGATTATTTAATTAGCCAAAGGTACACAGAGGATGAATGGTTTTTTTCCTGGCACCTAAATATATGAAAGGAAAGCACCAGGCGAGCCTCCCTGGGGAGAGCATTCCACAAAGAGTAAGAACAAAAGTGCTTACTGTTGCTAAAGGTGAGCCCCACTTTAAATGAACTGTTGGGAAATAACTCCTCCCTCTGGAAAATAATTGATGAAATAGTATTATAAGTTGTTTCTCCTTTTGAATGCAACCTGTCAATATCATGCCGGCACACATGTTTCAGAGTAGGAGAATATAGTAGCTGAATCATAGATCGTCTGCTTTGCCCGAATAAGGTCCCAGGTGCGACCTCCACCATGTCCAGGCAGAGAAATTGCTGGAGAAATTGCCAACCCAACCCAAATATAGGATTGAACATGGGACTGTTTGAAACTGGAAGGGGCTGCTGGGAATTGTAATCCAAACACATTGATAGCACAAGGTTGGAGAAGACTGATTCACGCAGCAGAAATCTGGTCTGTTCCACCTCAGTATAATTGTCATCTTCCCAAGGTACCTTTAAATAAAGTGTGCCTTGCTGGTATTCTATAGAGAGGATTAGGAAATGCACCCAGCCATGTTAAGATTCATGGACTTGGAAAACTTACATCATTTATGTTTGAGACTTTCAGCTGATAACCGCACCATACTTAGAATCATAGAATCATAGAACCATAGAATCATAGAATCATAGAATCATAGAGTCATAGAATCATAGAATCATAGAATCATAGAATCATAGAGTTGGAAGAGACCACAAGGGCCATCGAGTCCAACCCCCTGTCAAGCAGGAAACACCATCAGAGCACTCCTGACATATGGTTGTCAAGCCTCTGCTTAAAGAGCTCCAAAGAAGGAGACTCCACCACACTCCTTGGCAGCAAATTCCACTGTCAAACAGCTCTTACTGTCAGGAAGTTCTTCCTAATGTTTAGGTGGAATCTTCTTTCTTGTAGTTTGGATCCATTGCTCCGTGTCCGCTTCTCTGGAGCAGCAGAAAACAGCAGAGTCCAGATCCACTTTGTCTCTAGGTTTAATAAGCAGAAGGAATATACCATCTGTGTTTCATACGTCATCTTGGAGATGGTTACCACAATCCCTTGGACATTAATTTCACAACAAGGGAAGCAAATAAATAAATAGGGGCATATTTTGATTTGTGTTGTATGTCATGCAGTGTCTTTAACAGAGGTGTTTATATGATACTATTTACATAATACTCCTACTTGCATATTCAGTGTGATATCATATCCATCGCCCACACACATTAAAGCTTTGTTTTCAGTGTTTGTGGAATGGGTCCTATTCATATACAGCTGTATGCATGAAGAACTCTATATGCATTAGAACTCTGAGGCAAAATTTAGTTACTCAAATAGATATCTGTCTTTAAGTTCCCTTTCGTTAATGCTGAATGTGTGGCTAATAGAAATGAGGGGAGAACTTACCTATTTCTGGCTTCTAAAAGAAAATAGGTGAACCAAAAAACAACCATTTCCCCAAAAGTATGCTTCTCAAATTTTGCAATGCCGTCGTTCCACCAAGTAATATGTACAAAAATGCACGTACTAGAGTGAAGTGTGCGTATAAATGTGTATATTAGTGACATTTGCTTTGCAAAAATGTTTGTATTTGAGAAATGTGCAATAAAATGATGGTGATGAATTTTAAGTAGAATTTTTTAAAAAATGAAAACCGATATGGAAATGTAGAGAACTGAATTTATGATGATGAGAAATGGGAAATTGAGAGAAACCAAAGTTGACAGGTAAGAAAAATTAACAATTCACAAATATTACGTATCAGGGGCTTTCTCCCACGCTTGCTTCATTCAGCAACCCCCCTGCTCTGTTGGAGAATTTTAAGTTCAGCTGATGGATGTTGTACATATATGGGTGTTTGCTTGTTAATAAAATATTTCTTCTAAATTCATACCTTGAACCTGGAGCTTCAAAGATCACACATGTTACTAGGATTGAATACTGTGTACAACCTGCCTTCATTTTTTCTCTCCTTCCCTGCCCTGACTTCATGCAAATTCAGGATTGTGATGTGTGACTAGAAAACCTCCAGTGGAGGCCACGTGATGATAACCTTACATTTTTATGCATATAGGAAGACATACACTCCATTTTTGTTCTGGAACAGTTGACAGGTATGCACGAATACTTTCTTTCCCTTTAATTTTCCTTTTCCCTTCTAATTCTTACAAAGCAGATAAATGATGCCAACTATCACTTCATTATCTAAGTTTATCATGGTCCCTTGAGGCTTCCTCCAAAGCAAAAACTTCTAGCTGTGAATATGTCAAGGGGAGACAACTGGTGGAATCTAGTCCCCAACACACACGTAAGGCAAACTTTAAATTGAAGAATATTACGTATTCAAATAGCAAAGACACATGTTGAGTCAGGCCCAGAAATGGGGTTCACCACCTACCCTAACACCAGCCAGCTCTCTCCTTGCAAGCCTTCCTGCCTCTGAAGCAATGTGAAGAAACAACAAAACAAATATATTGAGTTCTATCCAATATTAAACATACTTAGAGTGAACCCGCTGAAGGGAAGGGGAGCCTCATACTGAAGTACCAAATTTGTGGCCCACTAAGCCTCTCTATCTGGTATCCCAACTCTCCTCAGGTCACACCCTTCATTTGCTCTTCATTCACACCCACACATGTTATTCCACATCTGGAATGTGTCCTTGAACTCTGCTTCTTGCTTGTCTGTACTTGCTTGTCTTCAGACTGAGCTGGGATAGCTCAGTCAGTACAGCATGAGACTCTTAATCCCAAGGTTATGGGTTCAAGCCTCATGTTGGGCAAATGATTCCCGCATTACAGAGGATCCTCGTGGTCTCTTCTGTTGCAGAAATTTATGTATAGGTTTGGGGGCAGGGTTTCCCCTTCAGCAGACATGCACATGCAGCCCACTACCAAATCAGCACAATCAC